GAAGGGATAAAGTTATTAGCATGTTATCTTCACATACAAACCCACACATGTGTTCACATACCAATTGCATAAATTATTTTCACTAATAGATCACTTAGTATATCCAATATTTTTTTGTAATTTTAATTCTTCGGAATGCGGAGGCATCACATTTTCCGTTATGCTACTTCGCCCGGGCTAGTTTCCTCTGTGGAAAGTCTTCCCCATACCAGCCATCCCACACTCGACCGTCTCCGCAGGCATGATCTTACTCTGCGCGTCCCCAGCCGCGATGGACTTCTTCGCATTTCTTTCTGCAGCTCTGCGGTACTGCTTTTTGAAACAATCTGGCGGCATCGCGTACTCGCGGAAAGACCCCTTAACTTCCCTTTTCTGAATCTTGTGGGAACGCATCTGAATTTGACTAATCTGCTTGCCTCCTTTCAGGAAGGGGAAGAACGGGTGAGATGCCACTTTGCGGCCCGCGAAATGACCATCGTCACGGAGGCCCTCGCTCTGGGGGAGTGCCGCTGCTATTTTCAGCACAACCCCGAGTACGCGCCGGCGGAATCTTCTGCACCTTTTCCACTAAAGGTTGATCGTATTCTTTATAATCAAAGCAAACCCTTTACCTCTGTTGTGAATGCGGATTTGGCGAGGCTTAAAACATGCGAAATCATTTCTCATTCCTTGGATGGTAGTGATTCCGCGTGCATAAATTCACTTGACGAAATTATACCGTTACTCAAGAAAAGCGATCTCGAGACGTCGTCGTCCTTGTTTCCTTCTTCACCGCTCTTTGGTTTGAAAGGTATTCAATCCGTCAATTCTGATACACTCAAGGCATTCTTTGACTATAATATTTCGTTACACGGGTATAACCTTTTTCGTCAGTCGGAAGGCTGTTCAGCGGTAGTCTTCGCACACACTTCTTTATTAGAACAGCGAATCGAAGAGCTCACCATGGCCCTCATGTCCGAGATATCGAAGGATGAAGCACTAACCCTGGCGCAGAATGTTGATTTAAATGAAAAAAACAAAGCTAAATGGTTGGATACCTTGCCTAGCTTGGTTCCCCTTTCCTTCGGCGTTGTCGTGCAGCCTCTTGCGGCGAGTAATAGAATCGAATGGCAGCTGTGGCTCCTCCAATCTACATTAATGCAGGCAAGTCTGGCATTAATGACATCAAAAACGGGAGTTGATAATCTCCCCCATAACATATTGTTTCTAAAACCTTTATTTGACCGCTGTGCGGAAACACATGCCACCTGCCAGTATATACTTAGTTTGATAACGGGGGACTACAACGGTGCCCACGCGGTGTCGGAAAAGGCGCGCCAATACACGCACCCCGTTGAGGAGGTTGCGACGATTGTTGAGCCTATTCGTAGAGCTTTGGAGATAAATGGGATTTTCATTGAATTGGAGGCTTCCGCGGCGGTAAGAACGAGGCTGGACTTTTTCTGCCGCTGCTCCACTGCAAATCTATTGCAGGGGCTGGAAAATGCTCCCGTGGATTCTCTGCGAGAATTGATGTCGACGAACGACTTCTGTTGTACATACTGCGGGAAGGCTCTCCGGCCGACACCGGAGGAGTGGAATCACTTAATCGAAAGGCGCGTTAAACAAGATTAATGGAAAGCTCTAACGACATCTCATGCAGTATGGTGAGCCATTACGAATAATCCAGTGCGACAAAAAAGACATATTAAACTGATTTGCTGATTGTATTTATCATCTTAACTTGTGCTGTTTTTTTTATTCACATTATCAAATTTCTCCTTTGTTCAAATTCCGTTCTTTTTTTCATATTCACAAATTTTACCAATCTTTCATCTTTCCCAAGTAATATATAAACGTAAAACGCCGTAGGACCGGCTTTCTGACAATTATAATTCCGATTCACCATTTCTTCTTCCCCTGCTCTCACACCTTCCTCATCAATGTCCGAAATAGTCGTGAAGCCGAGTTATGGCGTTTGGCTTCAACGCACCCAAAATGCGGAGCAGATGTTCAACTCCCACCAAGCCATAATTCACCAACTTCACATGTCTCTTGAAACAAATCAAACCAAAGCCATCCGCATTGATGAGGAGGCGATGCTACTATGTAATTTCCGTTTCGACGAGTTACGCGATCTTCGCGAGGCGACCTTATCGCCTGATAGCGCACAGTCGAATGCCTCCCGGC